TTTCTTGGACTACAAATCTCATAATTCCCCCTTCTGATTTGCACAGGGGTCACAGAGATCTCCATGTCTCTCCGCCTGGAGAAAAAGCCTACAGTAGAATACTTTGAGGCTGAGTTAGGCCTAGCTCCACTCAAGCTTTTAGTTCCTGCCCGTATGTTAGTGAAGAAGTTTCTTTCCCGACAGGAAACTAGGAGGAGCTAGGCCTAGCTTAGCCTCAAGGGCTTCCCTTTGAGGCCCTTCTGCCAGGTGAGCAGTATTCAGATGTCTAAGGTGTGTGAAGATCAGGAAGAACTCCCAAAATGGGGAATCATTGGATTTGTAGTCTAAGAAATCAAAAAAATCCCATTCTTATGATCCATGGTCATTTACAAAAGCTAACAGGTCCAGCAGATCAAGCTTCCTTCAGACCACATCCAGCATCTCACCTGAAGCTGATGGGCTAGTTTGGGGAGGGCAACAGAGGCCTCCTGACATGTTGCACTCTCTTCTCATACGTTTTTATTAACTCCCCACAGTTGCTGCTTGAGGAGGTCAACTCACGTGCCTCATGGAAGGGCCGGCCCTTGGCCAATTTGTGCAACACAGTACAGAAACGAGAGGAGATCACCACTCCCCCTCCATCAAATGGGGAGCCGGCCAAAGCAGGGGAAAAAAAACATATCTCGGCTGGAAACAAAAACGGCAATCAAACAAATCATCATCATGTCAGGGTTGGTCCGTAGCTGTCACAGACAGTAAATTGATTCACACAAAAAAACTAGTTCACTTTTAGTTAAAAAAAAGTTTATACAATCCAGATGAACCATCAGTTACACACCGAAAAAGCCAACATCCAGTGGCAGAAGTAAATTTCTTGGGCGCACACTCCCGAGAAAACATTCAAACGCATTTCCCTGTTGTGAAAAGGAAATCAAATTACTTTCTAATTTTAAAATGCCAGAGAAAACTCAAAAAAAAAAGAGAGAGAGAGAGAAAAGGGGGAAACACAGTTCTGATAAATACGCTACAGGGGTTAGGAATTTGTTTCTGTGTTGTGTTCGTACGCAAGGAACACAGATTCAGACTGACAGCAGTGGGAATAAATTCTCCTTTAGGTACCTTCTAAAGGTTCTCCTGAGCAAGCTCTGTTTCACCTACAACTAAAATGACCTAATTTACGAGTGTTTTTAAAAGCAAAAGAATTAAAACGGAGCACTGTGTTTCCCCCCTACAATCCCCTAGGTCAGGTCTCTGCTATATTTAAACCCAACATCCCAGTTTATTTTCGCAAAAGAAGACCCAAAAAAAAAGAGGAAATCAATCTCTTCCCAAACTACAGGAAAGTGTGGGAAGGTTCCTACAGAGCCCATCTTCAGTGGCCGTAGTAGTCCTGAGATGGACCGGTGGCGTTTGCACTAGGAGAAAGGCATCGATTGACATGAATGGGAACTTCCGTTTCAATGCAAACGGCCAGCAGGGAAGCGAGGACCATAGAAGGAGAGTTGCAACCGCCCATAATGGTGCCAGAGGTTTGACTGCCCTGTTTGCTAAGGTTGGATCACATGAAATGGGCATATGCGTGGAGGGAGGACAGAGGAAGGGGGAGAAACATCTGGATCTAAGCGTGCAGTGGCCATGTTGGGTTTGCACTGAACCCACCTACTTTTGTTCCCTTCTGCCTCTGAAGAAGCAGCTGGAGGAACTCTACAGGCTCAAGAGTGGGTGGGTCCATTCCTTTTCAGCTGCAACCTTTTGCACTCTAGACTGGTGGTTCCCAAGTCTGGGTACCCCAATGTGCTTGGGCTAGAACTCCCAGATATCTTGGCCAGCACAGCTAGCGGTGAAGGTCTCTGGGAGATTTAGTCCAAGAACATCTGGGGACCCAAGGATGAGAACCATCGATCTAAATGTTGTCACCGTGGGTCAAAGCCCCAGTTGCCGATGTTTTCGTTATAGCTTTCTCTGCAGAGGATGAGGGATTATTGGGGGGCGGTCCCTTCACACAATTAAAAACTCACTTGATCTTAAGATTGCCTCTTGATGCTCCTCTTTACTGCAGCTATGAACTTCACAGTCCCACACATCCCTACGTGGTTTCAGAACCATTGGCTTCAACAAGAGCTTCCTCTCTGGGCACTCTCACTCTGGAGGTTCGTCATCGTTTAGTCGTTTAGTCATGCCCGACTCTTTGTGACCCCATGGACACCAGGCCCTCCTGTCTTCCACTGCTGCCCGGAGTTGTGTTAAATTCATTCTGGTAGCTTCGATGACCCTGTCCAGCCATCTCATCCTCTGTCGTCCCCTTCTCCTCTTGCCCTCACACTTTCCCAACATCTTTTCCAGGGAGTCTTCTCTTCTCATGAGACAGCCAAAGTACTGGAGCCTCAGCTTCAGGATCTGTCCTTCCAGTGAGCACTCAGGGTTGATTTCCTTTAGAACTGATAGGTCTGTTCTCCTTGCAGTCCAGGGGATTCTCAAGAGCCTCCTCCAGCACCACAATTCAAAACATCAATTCTTCGGTGGTCAGCTTTCTTTATGGTCCAGCCCTCACTCCCATACGTCACTACAGGAAAAACCATAGCTTTGACTATTCGGACTTTTGTTGGCAAGGTGATGTCTCTGCTTTTTAGGATGCTGTCAAGGTTTGTCATCGCTTTCCTCCCAAGAAGCAGGCATCTTTTAATTTTGTGGCTGTTGTCTCCATCACTCTGGAGGTTGGAGCATTTCAAAACAAACTACAGCTACTCAGACCAGACCGAAACACACAGCGCTGTTAAAAGGTGGAAATTGCCCACAGGAGCACTGCTGTGGTGCTGCCCTCGTCCACATCAACAGAACCGACATGACGCAATGTCCAGGAGCAAAGGGAAGATCCTATAAATCAGGGTAGAGAAGGCTTTGGCCAACGAGACGTTGCTCCCATAATGCCTTGCAATTTCCCAGGGGCTTCCACGGAATGACATGCGCAACATGTTGATCATGTTGATCCCCAACCCAAACTCAAATCTTCACGAGGAGAATGGACTCAACATCAAATTTTCCCTGTCAACTTCCCTACTCACACCTTCTCTCTCGTCGACCGACCTGGTGGTTCCACCATTCCAATAGAAACTACTGTTCTTCATTACAAATTCTAAATTGATAGAGCTCATGTTTCCTACAATACGGACCTTGTAATAAATAAAATAAAATAAAGAGCAAGAGTTTGCATTGGACCAGTAGCAGATATAACGTGATTTAAATCTCCAGCTGCAACCCAGGGAACAGAGGAGACATAAAAACGCTACGTAGAATGGAGACGCACACTGAGAGTTTCTTAAAGAAGGTGGTAAAAATTATTCTAAACTCCATCATTAGGGCTTGGCTGTAAATTATGGGTTAGGTGCTCTTCCATCGGTTCCAAGGCAAACAGGAGGTGTAAAATTTAAGCCTTCCTACAAAAGGCCGTGTTGTTCAGGAGAGCGAAAGAAAAATGGTAGTCGTTCGGCGCCGAAGCCCATGAGCTTGCTCTGCTGGCACTAGAGAGGATGAGTCATTCCTTGTGAATGGTAGGAAAGAGGGGGGGTCTCCAAAGTAGCACACACAGAGACACACACAACTGTTATTGCTTTGGGGAGGGGGAGGGGGAACAGCAGCAGCACCAGCAGCGTGCTGGTTATAGTATGAGTAGAATTATCATCACCGTATAATTAGAGCATGACCTAGACGTGGGTTCCCCGAGGGCCACCTCCTCCAGCCAAGATGCTCATGCGTGCAGCTCACTCTCCCCATCTATGTGTTTACACAGACACAGCGCTCGTCCACTGTACAATACTTTCCCCCGGTGGCCAGTTCCCTTCCTGAGCTGCTAGTGGGAGGAAAAACATCTCATAGACCAACCGGTTACAGTTTGCTGTGAGTCACTTAGAAAGCAGGAGACCCCTTTAGACCGGGGTTGGGATCACACAGGAGTAGAGGTTGCCATTTCGACCACTTGTTTGTGCGTCCGGTGGGAGCCCATTTTCTGGGGAATCACATGACGCACAGAGAAATCCACTCCAGACCAAAGCTAATCTGTGGCCAGGCTGGACTTTTTTAGGCTTCAGCTTTGGGAAACTGGGCTGGAGAAATTCCACAGCAGACGGAAGAGTCTCTTTAAAGGAAGCGGCTCCCATTAAAGTGCCGTTTTCCAGGTGTGGATCTTGGCAGCCCTCTGATTGTACCCTAAGTCAGACTCTTGGCCCATCTAAACCAGTGGTTCCCAATTTTGGATCCCTAAGATGTTCTTGGACTGCACTTCCCAAATCCTTCACCACTACTTGTGCTGGGCAGGATTTCTGGGAATTGTAGTCCAAGAACATCTGGGGACCCAAGGTTGGGAGCCTGCCTTGCTCCTGGTCAGAATAACATAAAGATATTCTGTACACACATGCAGTTTATCTGAATGTTCAAACGTATTGACATAGGCCAGATGTAGAAACATCTGCCGTGATGTTAGTTTCCCTAGCATCATGGCAGATGCTAGTTCTGAAGATGTGCTCTACAAAGATGACAGGGGTGCGTTACACCTCCTTCCTTGTCCTTAAAAGACCTAGTTTAGCATTTGAAAAATTTACCTAGCCTTCAATCATTCTTAATGGAAGCAGTTGTTTTTGTTTGGCTCAGATCATGCTGGACTGTCTTCTTTCTCTGTAAAACATAAAACCCCACCTGCTTTGCACAAGAATAAAGGTAGGGAACCTCAGGAGGAAGGAGACTGATTGGCTCTGGCAGCAAGACATCATCGGATCACAGCTTATGATGAGCAACACGAGGCTAGAATACCATTCATAGAATCCTAGAATCGTGGAGTCAAACGGGGCCTCTAAAGCCATCAAGTCCAACCCGCTGCTCAAGGCAGGAATACATATTAAAGGATAATTGCCAGGTGGTTCTCTAAATTTCTTTTGAATGCCACCAAGGTTGGAGCACTCGCCACCTCTCAAGGACATGGGTTCCGTTGTCGTACTTCTCCATCTTCCACACAGGGACAAGTCTCTTCTTCAGATGAAGCTCTCGCCAACATGGGCTCCGTTGTCGTACTGCTCCATCTTCCACAGAGAGAGAAGTCTCTTCTTCAGATGAAGCTCTCGCCAAACATGGAGAAATGTCACAGAGAGGTGGGGGCCAGCCTGCCCTCTCTGCTCACAGATCAAAGGCTTAAGGGTCTTCAGGACTGACAGAGTTCACAACCTTGAGTAAGCTTCCTGAGATGCACAAAGGTTGTCTCCTGAGCAGGTAGGCAAGCTGATCTACCTCAACCCACAGAAGGTACATCAGGACGGAGGTGTATCATGGCAGGAGCACTCTTACCTGTGTGGTGGCATACCCCTCAACCGGCAGGGAAACCAGCATGCTATTCTATTCCCCCGCCTCCAGCCATTAATATGTGGCAAAGCCAAGAGCACTGCATTCTTCGCCATTCCCATGAATAGCTGGAACCATGGCTTTGAGAAATTATTTCTATGGACTACGACTCCCAGAATCCTTCCACCAGCATTGCCATGCTGACTGGTGAGATTCTGGGACATCGGAGTCCTGGGGGAGCTCTGGTTGACCCCATTTCAGAATGATAAATCTAATAATCAATTCTAGCTGAGAAGTAGGGTTTGCAGAATCACCCTGTTACGGCGCTGTTCTGTTGTTATATGTTCCCTGATAAATTCGTCGCTTCTCCACGTTAAGTGCAATTTCTTTTTTTTTTTAGAAAAAGTGACTCCATGGAAAGTCTGCTATTAAATATGTATTTTTCAAGAAATGTTTTCAAAAAAATAAATAAATCACCTTTTGATCGTAAATATGAGACCAGAGAACGGCACCGGGATGGAAGAACGAAAGTCAATGGACAACATATGCTCAGATCAGTAGTCTGAATCAAACCACCGTGTCGAATTTCCCAATTGTCTCCGTTAAGGAGCTTCAAGCAGTACTGAATTGAAGGTCTACAAAACCATATGTTGGGGCAGTGAAACACTTCCTCTTAGCATCTTCAAGGTATGCGCATGCAGCAGCACAGATGAGCATCATTAAAGAACTGTGAAAAATCAGAACGCTGTCCAAAATAGGGTGGAGGTAATGAATAGGTTAGATTCGTTAGTATTTCCAGCAATCTAGGAAACAACACAGAACTCTGCCTCTTCTTACCTTCTGCAAAAGGTTCCCACTCGTAAAATCGGCCCATGAAAGGCTTGATGTTGTACGATGCGCACTGGACTTCCCTGATGCTTCTGTTCTCAAGGCATGCCTATAAGGAAAACAGCGAGAGAGCTCTGTTAGGAACACAGGATCCATGTGGCTCTGTTTATCTGTCACCTCCAAATCTATTTATTTCAAATATCATTACCCCACCTTTCTCCTTAGAAAAGCACCCAAAGTGGCTTACATCGGTAAAAGGCAGTATTTAAAAGATAGAAGCTGTAATATTATACAAACATTGGAAAAGAATCAAACGATTGCCACATTAAAACAACAAACAAAATCAACATAAAAAAACATTCAAACAACATGACAACAAACAATACATTACAACAACAACAACAAACCAAGTAGGCTTTCTTGAAGAAAAAAAGGTCTTAATCTGTTTGCGGAAGGACAGTAAAGATGGGGCCAGTTTGGCCTCCTGTGGGAGGGAGTTCCAGAGTCCCAGGGGCCATGGCAGAGAAGGCTTTGTCTGGCGTCTCTATCAAACACACCTGTGAAGGTGGCTGGACTGAGAGAAAGGTATTTACAAAGGTTGTATAAACCAGCTTCCTAGAGTCTTCTGTAATGACCATAGATCTGGACTAGGTTTCTAGGGATCCCCTCCATCATCCTGGCTGGATCCAGCTGCCATTTTGGATTCTCCCTTCTCCAGACTGCCCCCTAAATCAAAGACAGCGGTGGAAAACAAATTACATTCTTTCTCCTTCCTCGTTTGGTAGATCAATAAGACAGGCCTTCCTCTCCACCAGATCTACTGTGGAACTGACTCAAACAGAGGTTTTCCAATTTAAAAAAAAAATGCATTTAAAATTGTTACTGCTTTGAAAGAACAGCTTTATATATATTGTTGCTTGTTGCTTTAGAGGAGGTCCTGGTGGACAGAAATGGGGCCGATAAAACCTTTTAACAAATCATAATGTTACAAATATTTTCAAATGTCCGTTTGCTAGTTCCCAAAGAACTCTGAATCGGTATTCCCAAGAAACATAGAATTTTGTAGGGGCGTTCTTGAGGCCTGAAACGACCAGGTTGGTTAGATCTCAAAGCTGATTTGAGTCAGGGGCTGCTCCCCTCCAGGAGACAAGATAGAAATGAAAGCAATTCCACCGTGTCGCCAGCCACTAACGTTTCGAATGGGAAGACATGGATAGGTGATGTTAAAACAAATGTTCGTCGACGCCTATATACCATGTGACCACGATTCAGTACAACAGAGGTATGGAACTTATGGTCAGAAGTGGGGAGATTTTGCCATATCTGCTCAGGCTCAAACAGAAGATTTAAATTGGTAAATCAAGTTGACTGGGGGAAGACTCAAGTTTGGTACGTTTTCAAGACAGTAAATAAAACCTGTATTCCATTATGAAAAAAAACACACGCTTTATTGTGCCACGTATGAATACTGCAGAAGAGGTGGAGAGAAACGTTATGCAGTGGTTTTCTACCCCAAAAAGATATAATAGTTTTTTAAAAAGAAAAAAATGGAGGTGGGGAGACCCGAAAGCAGGACTGGGCTGCCTGCTAATCATCTCCATTGTAGCCTAGACTTTTCTCAAGTGATGCATCAGTCCGTTTTTTCTCCATCTTCTTTTCAGCCCTTGTGTTTTGCTTCCAAAAATCCTGATCTAATTAGCGTTAAGCCAGTGAACCATGCCTGACCTGGGGGAATCCAGTAGAGCTGTAGGGGCTTTAGAAGAAAAAAAAAAAGGAGGGGGATTGCCAGATATTGGAGAGTCATGCGAGCCGGACCGTTCCAAACACATTGCCAACACTCTTAATTGCTTTTTGGGATGGGTTTCGGCCACAAAAGAATGGCCCAAGCCAAGACGTTTCCAAAAGTGCATCGTCTCGGCGCAGGGGGCTCCAGCAGCTGTGCTAATTTGCAGGTATCCAGCCAGCCCGAACTCACAAGTGTCCGAAAGAGTGATGGCGTTTACGTGGCTTCGGGCCCAAAACTCCTAACATATGGACCGGTCTCCAGAGGATGGGGGTGGGGTGGGGGATTGGGGATCAAGAGAGAGTTCAAGAATTCACTTTGATGAGAAAGTGAAAGCTTGGAAAAGCATGAGAGCACGGTGCCTTGCTCAGCTACGAACCGCAAACACAAACCATAGACAACCAACTGGAGAAAAAAGGGTTAAGTCCCTCCTTGGTTCTCCCTGCTCTGCTGCACTGCAGCTTTCCAGGGATTTTTTGTGTTTCAGAAAAATACGGGTCCCGAAACCTCGTGACGCTCCCGAGACTTGTCAGCCACCAGGGTATATTAATGAATCTAACCTATTCATTACCAACACACTGTTTTGGAAGAGTTACATTGATGCAGTGGGATTGCAAAAAATGCTCTTAACAGAGAAATACCACAAAACCCATATTTCAAAATGTTTTGAGAGGCATGTTTCGGGGGGGGGGCTCCTTCCTTTCTTCCTTCCTTCCTTCTTTCCTTGCTTCCATCTTTCCTCGCTTCCATCTTTCCTCGCTTCCATCTTTCCTCGCTTCCATCTTTCCTCGCTTCCATCTTTCCTCGCTTCCATCTTTCCTCGCTTCCATCTTTCCTCGCTTCCATCTTTCCTCGCTTCCATCTTTCCTCGCTTCCATCTTTCCTCGCTTCCATCTTTCCTCGCTTCCATCTTTCCTCGCTTCCATCTTTCCTCGCTTCCATCTTTCCTCGCTTCCATCTTTCCTCGCTTCCATCTTTCCTTCCTTCCTTCCTTACTTACTTACTTATATTTTTACCCAGCTTTTCTCTTTAAAAAAGACCCAAGGTAGCTTACCACATTGAAAGATAATATTTAGAGCGGAAAACAATTTCAATTTTTGAAACTAAGAACGATGAGTGTAAAAGGCAGCTTGCATCATGCAAAGACAACACTAAAACTAAAAATAATAAGGATACAAATATTTAAAAGGAACAAACAAAATGCCACACAGTGAAACGATAAACACTAGTAGTACTAAAAAAACACAGTCAAAGCAATAATGCATAACAACAATCAATCTAAAAATCCTTCATGTAGCCAGTCACTAAGGAAAGCCTGCCTGTCTTTGCCTGCTTGTGGAAGGACACCAAAGACAGGGCCAGGCTGGTCTCCAGTGGGAGGGAGTTCCAGAGTCTGGGAGCAACAACAGTGAAGACCCTCTCCCAGGTCCCCATCAGACACACCTATGAAGGTGACGGGACCGAGAGAAAGGTCTCTCTTGAGGAACACCCTAACCAGCTCATAATGGGAAATACGGTCTTGGAGATAGCTTGGACCCACGCCATTTAGGGCTTTATAGGTTAAAACCGGTACTTCGAATTTTGCCCGGAAACAAATCGGCAGCCAGCTGAAATAAGTTCTTCAGTGGCTTAGCATTTCAATTTCAGATTGTCTTGAACTATAATTCCTCTTTTATAAAAAAAATTCCTCTTTATTTGAAACTCCATCCTTTTCTGAGATATAGGAATGCCTTTCTATTCAGGAACTCGAGCATTAAAAAAAACCATCCATTTCCAAAGCCTTTCTTTTTATTTTTTCTGTCTCTTTTTCTCCCCTTTCCCCCAGGGCAAAAAAAGAGACTGCCCCATTCCTTTCAAGCCATCTGCTACCTTTATACTTTCCTAAGATTTATTGAGCTCTCTTCAAGAGGCTTGGCCATTTCCTCTACTAATTCTTCAAAACACAGAAAGAAAAACCTTAGCCCGGACCTCATCCGGCCTTGCCGATTTCTCTACACTGATGTTTTCCCAAATAACGTCCCACTAGCTAAATCGCTTTATTGTTAACCTTTCCTTCTCCCCGCACATTCCCGGCCCCGCAAGACATCTGTCAGTTACATTAAGTTACCTACATTTCTCACGGCTAAAACACAATTAACCGAACATGGCTGCTGGCTGTTATGGCGATCCTGCAGTTAATGCTCAGGTGCAGGAGATGGAACTTCAGCTCTTGGTCAAGTCGAGAGGGATTGCGATGCACCTGGATGCACCTTGTCCATGAGACTTTAATCTCCTTGCCCCGAGAGAGAGAGCAAAATGCCCAGGGCTCATTCACCGCAGGTGTCAGTAGCCGCTGTCAAAATCTGTTGCTGCTACAGTCATCCGGAGGCTCTTCCTTCACCCTAGGAAGCCTAATTCTTGGGCTACGTTGGTACTCAGCCGGACAAAAGGCGATCGCTTTTCCTTTTTCTCCCTAGATCTACAAATAACTTCGGACAACGTCCTGAACTAGACCGGTAAAAACTTGAACTGGGTCAACTGTGGGTCTGAACGGGCATGAAATCCAACAGAACGGCAACCCCAAGAAACAGACCATCAGACTTGGGAGTGGGGAAGATGTCATGAAGGAGAACACGTACATACGGTAATCCACTCGGTTCTGAATACTAGATTCTTTTTATTTTGGAAATTTAGAACAGAGGCCTGCCTCTAATTGTCCGTCTCTGTTAGAATAACACTGGATTAATAGAAACTCAACATGTCAACCAAGGGCCAAGTTCCATTGATTTGGTAAAGCACCGAGCCCATGGAATGTAGCAAATTTCACGGATTCAGTGAGTCTGCTCCAGCTGGAACTAAAAATGGGATTTACGCCAATGAAATTTTCAGGGGTATATTTGTTGATTCCTCCTCCTCTGAATTCACTGAAGCTGATGGCATCTTTCTTCTGTTAGGACATTTTTTAAGTATCAAGAAATTAGTGTCTCTTGTGGACAACAGGAATGGAAAACCCAGGAAGGTGGCTGATTTGAACATTCACGGCCATGCTAGATCCAACTAAGGAAACACGTCTGGGATGGGAGACCTTAGACAGAAACAATTCAGCTTGTTCCTTCTACCAAAGAGAGAGAGAGAGAGAGAGTGGGAGAGAGCAGAGAGGGGTTCGATTTGATGAGCAAATATAAGGAATTGCAAGACTTTTTTTGTTTAATTAGGACTATCTGGGGAAACAGGGGACAGAACTTTTACAAAGCCCTGGAAAAAATTTGTCTATATCATTTACAAGAAGACAAAGCAAACACGGATTTGTCCCATTTCCCATTATGCCAGCAGAGTGGAGCGTTACA